GTTTAAATGGTTTTATTTTAATAAAACGTTGGTGAATGTATTTATCTTACTGTAAATAACAAGTGAAAAATGTTCAGCCCTATCAGTTGGACATTCCGGTTTTTATACTGCTTTTTTTTGATTCACTAAACGCTCCTAAAAATGAATTATTCCGCCCGCAGTAAGAAGTAAAGTAAAGAATCCACGTTGGCGGATTTTGGTTCTTACAATCCTTTACGGATCGGTTTACGATGCCTAGATTACGGAGACCTGTACGATTCGTCAACTTAGTGAGTTTGATAGGGGCCGGTATAGTGGGACTTCGGGAAGCTGGACTTTCTTTTCGGGCAAATTGCAGTTAAGTGCAAAGAAGTGTAGACACTGTGGTTAGGTGTTGTCAGGCAAGGCTTCGAGAAGGCCGTACGCAAAGAGCAAGGGGCACTGGACGCCGCCGTAGAACAAATACCGTGAAGATCGCCGCCAAAGATTATTGGCCTTAAGGGACCGTTTTCTCCACTACCAGGTCATTGCAAATGAATGGTTTGCAGAACACGGAAAGACCTATTGGCATGCGAAGTGTTTACCGACGAATGAGAAGTTTTGCCTTGTTTTCATACCCGCCACACTGGGGTCCTCCCTTTAACTCGAGAAACACCGACGTAATCGCCTTGAGTGGTGCAGACAACGGTCACTCTGGGATCAGGAATGGAACAGTATTGTCTTTAGTGACTGAGTCTCGATTTTGTTTAGGCATGCACGATGGTCGTGCCAGGGTTAGAAGGCGACGTGGTGAAAGGAGGAATCCACAGTTTTTTGTTGAAAGACTGTTCATTACACTGTTGAAGTTATGGTTTGGGGTGCTATAGCTTATGGCTCCAGGTCACCTTTAATCTTCATCAGAGGTAACAGGAACGCGCAGCGTTATATCCACGAAGTTCTAGAACCCCATCTTTTACCCTATCTTGACACCCTGGCAGATCCAACTTTCCAACAAGACAATGCCCGACCACATGTTGCAAGAGTCACAATAGACTTCTTTCAACATAATGATGTCACATTGTTACCATGGCCACCAAGATCTCCCGACTTATACCCAATTGAGCACGTGTGGGATATGATGAGTAGGAGATTGCTCAATTTGCAACGTCCTCCTCAAACTCTAGAGCACGTCGAGAGGAAGTTGGTGGTTGCCTGGAATGAGATACCACAGGAGGACATTGACCACCTTATCAGAAGCACCAGAGCATGCCTAGGCGCGTTGGAGAATGCGTAGCACATCAGGCTGCATCCACACATATTAAAGGTCAAAGGGCTTTAAAGCAGTGCAATCATTTTGAAATTTTTATCATTCACTTTTTATGCTTCATTAAGTACTTATACAAAATTTTATTGAAATAAAACCATTTAAACTGGGTGTTCGGATTTATATGTCACTTAGTATATTTTGTTTTCAACATTTCATAGCTCTTGGTTGCTATAAAGATGTGATTGGAACTTGAGCTCATTCGCTGTATTTGACGGACTGTTACCCTGTAGGTGAGGAATAAGGGACTGTTGATTTGACAATCTGGTGAAATCCACCCTAATCGGATTTCGCATTTTGTGGAAATTCGGACGTGCTAGACCATTTTCTGATATCAGTTTGATTCCAGCACACTACATAAGAATCATCCAAACAGTCCTTTTGGCTGCAGACCGGTGTTAGTATCTACCAACCTAGAATAATTTAAGGTTCAGAACATTTTCCACGGTGTTACTTATTGACCCATTAGTCCAATCGTTTGAAGTCAGTATAATTGTAATAATATTTTCGCGATAAATCAGAAAAGCAGAAACAACAGCTATCGATTCCAGTTACAACAACAATAGCTCATGTTTTGTTGTCGTACGTGCTTACAAGCATAAATAACAAATAATGATATAGCCAATAAAACACAACTACTACTAATCACTTAAAATACTACTTTTTAAAATGTGCATTACTGATACGCGACCTATTAGTTTGATATACCATTGTATGTGAATAAATAAATCGGAGAAATATGGAAGATAATCAACTGTAGAGATAACCTTCCGTGCTGATACCGTGGATTTTTATAGCCCAGGGAAAATGAGCGTCGTTATATTATACTAAGTGACATATAAATCCGAATACCCAGTTTAAATAGTTTTATTTTAATAAAAGTTGGTGAATGTATTTATCTTACTGTAAATAACAAGTGAAAAAATGTTCAGCCTTATCAGTTGGACATTCCGGTTTTTATACTGCTTTTTTTTTAATTCACTAACGCTCTAAAAATGAATATTTCAGCCGCAGTAAAGAATCAACGTTGGCGGATTTTTGTTCTTGACATCCTTTACGATCGGTTACGATGCCTAGAGTACGGAGACCTGTACGATTCGTCAACTTAGTGAGTTTGATAGGGGCCGTATAGTGGGACTTCGGGAAGCTGGACTTTCTTTTCGGGCAATTGCAGTTAGAGTGCAAAGAAGTGTAGACACTGTGGTTAGGTGTTGTCAGGCATGGCTTCGAGAAGACCGTACGCAAATAGCAAGGGGCACTGGACGCCGCCGTAGAACAACAGACCGTGAAGATCGCCGCCTAAGATTATTGGCCTTAAGGGACCGTTTCTCCACTACCAGGTCCACTGCAAATGAATGGTTTGCAGAACACGGAAGACCTATTGGCATGCGAAGTGTTTACCGACGAATGAGAAGTTTTGGCTTGTTTTCATACCGGCCACACTGGGTCCTCCCTTTAACTCGAGAACACCGACGTAATCGCCTTGAGTGGTGCAGACAACGGTCACTCTGGGATCAGGAATGGAACAGTATT